GTCTCTTATACACATCTAGATGTGTATAAGAGACAGCCCCTATACCCCCCCATCCCCAAAAGTTTCTCCAGGGATTTGGGCTGTACTCAGCAAGTGCAGTACAGCCCCCAACTCAGATTTGAAAAAAAATCACTGGATCGCTGTTTTCAGACTGGTCGGTCGGTGGTCGGGGTCGGCGGTCGGCAGGTATGCAACCCTGCTTATATAAGCTATAAAACTTCATGAGGTGTACTTGATAAACCAACATTCATAGGTAGGTGCTTAATATAGTTCTTATTACTTCTTAATACTTCTCTTCTTTTTTTTTAAAGGTTCATTCGACAGTTCTGCATTTGTGCCACTGTCACTAACAGTCATCAGTGCGTGTGTTCCAGGTTTCAATAGACAGTTTTGGGCTGTACAGCACGTTGGGTACTACTGTCGTCACCTGAATAGACCAGCCGGTCACTATGCCTGTATTTGGGGCAACTTTCTGTCCGGGTACAGTGATAACGACTGGGTGTTCTATCCCGGGGGTAAGACGATTGCTGAGCTTATCACAGTGGCTGATCATGTTCTGGGTTGTACAGCATCATTGGGTACTCTACTGCCATCACCCTAACAGACCACCCAGTCACTATACCTGTATGTTTTGGGGCAGCTTTCTGTCCAGGTACAGTGATTACGACTAGGTGTTCTATCCGGGGGGGGAAAGACGATTGCTGAGTTTATCACAGTGGGTGATCATGAAAAAAAAAAACAGCATTGACAGCTCTCAGCTCAAACTCATCCCCTCTACACACTGAAACACCCTTCAGAGCTCTTCCTCTTCGCTCTCCCAACGAAAAGGGAACAGGTACTTATACTTACTGCGCAGAAGGTGTGGAGCGAGTAGTTCATGAAGTCTAGCGATCTGCTGCTCGTGATTAATGTCAGCAAACTCCTCTTGAAAGTCTGCCAGGCTGCTAAACTGCAACTCCACAGCAAATCAACGTCCCACATAACTTGGTCGAGAATAGCAAAAAAGAGCGAAAAGTTCAAATTTCAAACGGAACCCCATCAAAAAAAGTGAAAAAGAAAAGAAAAAAAGAGGATCTTATCATCCAGGCTCCTTTTCCAGTCCGGGGAGCGTCAGTGCAGTTCCTTTACACCGGCAAGTCAGAGAATGACATGAATTGTACGCACTGACGCATCCTCTCGTTCACCGGAGGAGGAGGGGCTCAATCCTCGATGGAAATAGGGGCTCTCCTTACTTTTTTTGATCTCTCTTCCTTTGATTTGAGAAGAAGGGGGGCGCCTCCAGAGGATCTAAAAAAGAGATACTTGACAACAAAATAGAAAGAAGATTCAGCGTACCAAGTCCAGCATCCACACACTTTGTCAGATTCCACGCACTGCAAACTTCCGGGACCCTCAGTCACTACACAGGGCAACTGTTCCATCTCGCTGCAAGGAGAGGACGGAGATGAGACGTCAAGAAGACTGGGAGAAAGGAGGCCTGGTTGGTAGACAGTGTGAGGAAGTGACGGTGACGAGGACAAAGTTAATGGAAAGCCATGGAGGGCAACAGAATTGGGGGGAGGAGCGGAGGATCAAAGGTGGGAAAGCAGAGGACAGGAGAGGGAGAATAAGAGATGATTGTTAAGAGCAGGACAATGGGTCATACGTACTCACAGGAAAAGGAAGAGAGACGAAAGCAAGTGGATGATGAAGTGTGGGGAACCTAGGACACTTCATTGTCTTGCTATCACACGAATAACACAAGCAGGAGGCAAAAGGAATGCAGGTAGAGAATGAGGAGAAAAGAGGAGGAGAAAAAGGAGAGAGAGGAGGAGAAAACCGAGAAAGAGGAGGAGGAGGAGGAGGAGGAGAAAAAGGGAGAAAGGAGAAAGAGGAGAAAGAGAAGCTTGAGGCCACTGCAGACGTGAACAGGAGAAAGCGGAGAAGCTAGAGGACACTGCAGATGTGAGCACGAGAAAGAGGAGGAAAAGGAGAAAGAGGTGGAGAACTAGGAGAGAGGAGGACAAACAGAAGAAAGAGGAGAAGTTCGAGGGGACTACAGATGTGAACAGGCACTACAAATCAAGTCACGAGAAACAACAGATTCACAAGTAGCTTAATAATGAACAGCAAATTTCCACCATTGCACAGGACGGAAAGGAGCAGTCTGGCCAGAAGAGAAAATCAGCAGTGTTTCGCATCTTCTCACGTGAAGGGGGTCATCAAAACGAGCATGCTTGCATTATCCTTTTTTAACTTTTTCATTTTTAAATCGCGAGGGTATGGCATCCTCACCTTTTCAAGGAGGCGGCACAAGCATGACATCCTTGTTTTTTTTACTTTTTTTCTAGGGTACCAGCCGGGCCGCTCGAATGACCCAGTTTTCCCGGACGACCCGGCCGTGCAAGGACCAGGGAAGTTCCCAGCAAAAAAAAAAAAAAAAAAAAAGTGTAAAACACTATGTTATGCAGAAAAATAAACTGAACAACTTTTGCCTCAGGGTCACATCGATATTCTTTACCAAATTTAAATAAATATATACATCGTCACAAATATATATATTATTATATTGTATATACCTGCGTAGCATCGTGTTCGCGTTTGGAGGCGACCCCAAACAGGATCGCCCGAATGCCAATGGCGCCCAAAACCCTCCGAGCGTGAACAAAAAAAAATATTGAAAAAAAAGAAGTCTCAGAAAAATCTGAAAAAAATATATGTCATGTAAAACAACAATACAAGCAACTTTTTTTTTTACCGTAAAAAAAATGGGGAAATTTTGTCTGGCTCCCCTGTAATTTCCATTATTTTGCATCGCGCCCCTCCGACAGCCTACTTACCCTGTCGTGCCCCTCTGACCACGATTCAAATTTCCCATAAATCCCCGGCGTCGGCTGGGCCTGAAATATTTTTTGTAATGCCCCTAGCGGTACCCGTTCTAAATTTGCAGTATGCCCCCACCGGATAGCTGTTGAGTGCGAGTACCAAAATTTTCCATATGCCCCTGCCAGAGGGTGCATGTTTTCAGCACACCTCTATGGCTACGTGCATGGCAGCCACTTCATTTCTCTCTCTCTCTCTCTCTCTCTCTCTCTCTCTCTCTCTCTCTCTCTCTCTCNCTCTCACACACACACACACACACACACACACACACACACAGTCCGTAGAAACAGTCTGGAACAGTCATGCTTTTTTTGAGTGTATAGCGAATATGACACACACACACACGTGTGCTCGCGCATGATTGCCACTTCATCTCTCTCTCTCTCTCTCTCTCTCTCTCTCTCTCTCTCTCTCTCTCTCACACACACACACACACACACACACACACACACACACACACACACGGGGGCATTGTTTGTGGCAGTGCCACAAAAACCACGTGCTTCGAATCCGAATTTCTGGCGCGAGGGCATGATGGAAAGATGTATTCTGCTCACGAGGGCATATCGCACAGGGACCGGTGAAATGAGACTGCCCATCCAGTAAGGGCACCGCGGAAAGCTCCACCCCTTGCTGACAGGGGCATGCAGGAAAGCTCATAGGCCCAAGGGCGCGGCAGGGTAAGTTGGTCGTCGGAGGGGTACCATGCAAAATAATGGAAATTACAGGGGCGCCAGACAAATTTTCCCAAAAGAATATGTTCGCCCGAACACGTTCCCCGTGCTACGCAGGTATATAGTACATACTATATATCGTCACGAACAGATATCGTCAAACAGAGCTTCCCGGCAAACTGTGGGCAGAGAGGGAGGGAGAAGAGGAGAACAAACGAGGGGCTGTGACAAACTGTTTCGTCGGAGTTTCACCGACTCATCAGGAGGCTGAACCCTCAACAGTCTGCAGGATCCCCTAACTAATTACACTGTAAGTGATAATGCACATGAGCCCCGATTGTGGTTAAGCATCAACGACTGCCCGACAACTGATACCCTGAGGTGGGCACCAACCACTGCCCTCAAGGCACCTGCGATGAAAATCAAAGCAGACTCACTCACCCACACCAGATGGAAAACTCTACAGACTGTCGATTCACACCCCATCACAAGCCAGCAAAACACCCACGAAACAAAGAGAGGTCTGTCACAGCCAAAAAATACACTCCAGACATGCTGCTGGCAACTAGAGGCACAGCATGTTTTTTCTTTTTCCTTTTTTTTTCTTTTTTTTTTCCGGCCCGGCCGGGCAAGTGGTCCCGGGCAACTCTGGTAGTCTAGCTTTTTTACCCTTTTTTTCTTATTTTTTTGAGACAGCACCAAGCATGTTACGTGTTACTTAATTTACATTTGAATTCCACACGCAAGGTTGAGCTTCTGAGGTTTCCAAAAGGGGACATGTGCCACACACCAAGCTAGGAGAGGTTTCCGAAAAAAGGAGACATGTCCGCTTGAGAGGCTGGGGTGTACATCTACATACCTTTCCTGCATCAAGAAAATGCATTAGCATGAAGAGCTCATCCAGATTGTTCTGCAATTTCCCAAATTGTCATCAGAGAAGGAAGATAGAAAAACAATCACCGATTCACAGTTATATTTCACACCCACAGCCAATCCTCCTCAACCAGTCAGGATTACCCAACTTCAGATGTGAAAACCTGATACACCCCCCCCCCTCCCCCCTCTTCCTCCCCTACCCCTCCCCTCTCTTCCTCCCCTACTGCCCCCGCTATCACAAGCACCCTCCCCCGCACCCCATCACCATCGCCTCTGCTCCTGGACTCCTCCCTCATGCCCACCCACCCCTTCCCTCCCCATCCGCACTCTGGGATTACTGTAACAAAGTCCTGGCCAGGCGGACAGCGGACTCGGGAGGCGGCATCTCCTCTTGCATTGTCATCCAGACGTGTGAATCCTTTCATTGCAATGAATATTGCACCAAATTGCATCTGCGTCTAAGCCGCTGTATCTGCATCTCTTGCATGGAAGTTCAGCTAGATACAGCTATAATCACTGTGTTATGTTAGGGGTCATAAGGCAGCCAGATCAGGGGTGCTGCAGCTGCTACCACAGAAGCCAAAAGAAAGTGGCTGGCGTAAGTCCACAAGAGACTGATTAGAAAGAACTCCTTTGCATTTCTTTCACAGAAGTGGCCTGGCAGAAATATTGCAGGTGCCTCATCACTTCGCAACCAATAAGCACCTGTCCACCATGCACTGGGACTTTTCCATTCACGTGGACACCTCCGCACGTGGACGTGGATTGCACATTGGACTTGTGCAATATTTCTGGCAGAAATATTGCAGGTGCATCGTCACTTCGCAACCAATAAGCACATGTCAACCATGCACTGGGACTTTTCCATTCACGTGTACGGCTCCGCACGTAGAGGCACATTGGACTTGTGCAATATTTCTGGCAGAAATATTGCAGGTGCATCGTCACTTCGCAACCAATAAGCACATGTCAACCATGCACTGGGACTTTTCCATTCACGTGTACGGCTCCGCACGTAGAGGCACATTGGACTTGTGCAATATTTCTGGCAGAAATATTGCAGGTGCATCATCACTTCACAAGCAATAAGCACATGTCCATCACTCCTTTGAATTTGTTTCACAGAGGTGGTCTGGCAGAAATATTGCAGATGCATCATCGCTTCGCAACCACCAACAAGCACGTCCACCATGCACTGGGACTTTTCAATTCCCGTGGACCGTACATGGACGTGCACGCTGGACTTGTACACATCCGTTGTGGAGACGAGCGCGGATGCGTCAGTACAACAATATGTGTGAGCTCGTGTTCACACGACGTCACAACCAATAATATAAGCTTGTGCTCCAGTTAACAATTAACAGACGCAAATGTGCACGCATCTCCGTAGAACGAGTGTGGGTTGGGCTTCCCCAGGCTGATGGCCGACAGGAGCACATGCGTCTGTAAAACAAGCATGGGTTGTCATACATGTGTGGGACGCGCACACACATGCACACATGAAACCTGAGAATCGGCAACCCACACTTCTTCTACTCACAATGCACAAGTGCATCCACTGAGGGTAAACAGCAGCATATGTATTCTATGCCTAAAGCCTAAGAAAAGGCATGTTCGAAATAACGCCTGCACATAAGCTCCTCGATGATTGACATCTTTGAAGACGCCTGCACATATGCTCCTCAACGATTGACATCTCTGAAGTCGAGTATTGTGGTCGATTGTTCTCACAGTGGGCACCTGATGCGTACATAAGACCCAGAGAAGTCGAGGGACACTTCTTCTACCAAACCTTGCACATGTGATCCTCAATGGTTGGCTTTTCTCAATGGTTGGATTTTCTCAATGGTTGGCTTTTCTCAATGGTTGGCTTTTCTTAAGTCAATGGTTGACTTGTCTGAAGTCAGCAGTTTACTTTTTGCAGTGGCCACCTGCAACAGCTGTTCTTTTGACACCCGGACATGCGTCTGCTGAACGATTGTCATCCAAAACATCAGCCAGCACGCTGCATGCCGCATAACAATGATGTGTTTGGAAACGTAGGAACCTGCCATACACTTCAGTCCCATAACCAGTGTGTTGCTCACAGTATAGGATTGCTTGTGCCGATGTTTCAACTCTGACAGTCAGCAACCCTCTGACCGTCAGACTCTGACGTGCCTACACATTGACTTGCCAACGTCTACCTGTAGGCAAGCAGCGCCTGTCGATCACAGCCCTCGCCACCACCACTACCACCAACAGGCTCACTATCATCACATCACCACAAGAAAGAAGTACCTCCACTACCGTCTCCACCCGAATAGAACGCCCGGTCATTATCGTTGCATCTGGACCAAAAGTTGTGCCAAATACGGCTATAATGACCGGGCGTTCTATTCGGGAGAAGATGGTAGTACACTGCACCGGCCTTGCAGTCCGAGACTTGTCGCCACAAGAAAACGAGGCTGAAACGTCAAACGCTGGGCCTGGCATTGATAAATTGGATGGGCAGTCACGTTTTCGTTTCACGCTTCCTGAATTCGAGGTGTCAGGCCCGCGGCCCAGGTGCCCATGTGCTGGTGCTTTAAGCCAGTGGACAGCAAAGCGGTGTTTCATCTCCTTCACCCTTTGCCGTGCCATCTGGCATTACCACTGGTGTCCTGTTTTCATTATTTGCACTGTGTAGCAACTATCCCACAACAGCTCCTCGGGTCGGTAGCTGGTTCCGCGGAGGACTTCGTACCAAACCCATACGTACTTTGAGGAGTCGTGTCCGCAAAGGCTTGCATTCCATCTCCATGAGGTTGATGTGTTCAGATAGAGTCCTTACCTGCAATGGTGTTCCTGTAAGCAGTAGACGGTGACGAGTTGAGTACGTGTGTAAAGTCTGGAAAAGCTTTGATTCTTTCTTCTTCAGACGATGTCCTTCGTCTACCACCTGTACCGGCACATAACAAGTGACCACATCCAGTAAGACAAAAAACTGTGTGCCACCACGTCCCATATAAGTATGCAGTCAGGTTCTGCAATCAGAGCCCCTAATTACTGCTCATTCACTTGATGCTTCCCCCCCAACCCTACACAAGCAATACACATGAACGAAGCGGACTTCACGCTTCTCTTGCCATCACAGCAGTCCCATGAGGTAAAGCGCCCTCTAATGGTTAATAGGTGGCGTCATTTTCGACGAAATTTTCACCAAAACTGCCCGCTTGGGTATTTTTATGTTTGTATTACGAGCCTCCATTGTTTGTTCGCGAAATTTTCGACGACATTGCTTGTAGTGATGCAACAAAAAAACCCGAATTTTGGGACTTCCCTTAACCCTCTCTCGAAGGGCCCAGATGCACATACAACATGAGGGTAACCGCTACGTTCTTGTCACTTCTTTTGAATTTCAATTGATTGCCCACAAGTCCCCGAAGCTTGAACACCTAAATTGGTCCCTTGGCCTGGATTCCACTCGACATACATATACAGGACCTCATTCCACTACAACAGTATTATGCAAGAGCACAACTCGTTACACTACTTGTCAAATGCAAGAATGGAAAATATGTCGTGCAGTAGAACATGGAAGGCGAGGTGCCTTCTTCGCGATTGCCGAGTGGTGGAATGAGGCTCACAGTTTCAGCAGCTGTAGCCACCCTTCCACTGTTATAAATGCGCAAATTCCACAAAATGGTTGCCTCGCATGATCTAGCAAGCGATGAGTTCTTGCAATCCACCCCACTACAGTAGAAAATCCCGTCATTATGTCTGTATTTGGGCAAACTTAGCAGTCTAGATACTGTGATAATGACCATAAGTTCTACTCGGGGGAAAGCGGCGGAAGGGAAAAGACATTGGGCTAATAGAATATTATAATCATTATATAGATTATAGAATGATATTGCTCGTCACAGACTCACAGTGCCGTCTCAATGGCACACCGCTGCAACCATGTATATCAACAAGTAATGAACCAAGTAATGAACCAGAAATCAGATCACTGCAAGCAATAGATCCAGTACTTATGAGATTTTTTTTGAGGGACTACAATCAATAGATCCAGTACTCTCACTTTTCGCAAAGGAGGGAAAGAACCATACTGTCCATTTGAGTCATGGGCTCAGACTCCAACGCTTAGACCCGGTATCCAGGGCTGTCGACCTTCCTAGCTTAAAAACTGAGAAAAACTGAAACCACCAGTTCAGCTGAGCCTATTTGTACGAACCGATCCCCCAGGGTACCCCCTTGGGCCTGGGGGGCCAAAGCAGAGTTTTCTTACAAGATATACCAACAAAAGGCCGACTTAGCTTCGGCTGAGCTGGTGATCTAAGCATTGAGAAAAACAAGTTGCCCGCCATACAAACACAAATCAAAATAGCATCATGATTCATGAGGGATTATACACCTAGCACTGGAAACATGATATCACAAAGAACCAGAGTGGAGCAACACCGACGCAGTCCCTTCGACGTCACTCCTCCAATGTTCTGCCATGAAATAAATGCCGGTCATGTTGCCTCTCTCTCTCTCTCTCTCTCTCTCTCTCTCTCTCTCTCTCTCTCTCTCGTGTCTGTGTGCATGTGCCTGTTAGTGAGTGAGAGACAGAAAAAGAATAGGAGTGATCAGGGAAGAGCGAGAGAGAGTGAGGAAGAGAGAGAGGGAATGGGTTGGGGCTGTGCTTTTTAATGTCTAGCAGCCTGTGCAATGCCATTTTCAGAACTCTGTGGACAGATCTGTGTGCATGCATACTACACAGCTATGGATGTGAGTTTACTTGCAGATGTGTGTTTGTGAACAGCGACAGACAGAGAGAGAGAGAAAGACAGACAGACAGAGAGACACACACACACACACACACAGAGAGAGAGAGAGAGAGAGAGAGAGAGAGAGAGAGAGAGAGAGAGAGAGAGAGAGAGAGAGAGAGAGCAAGACAGGGGAAAACCAGGGGGTGCACATGATCCCATTTGAGTTACAGCACTAGCCAGGCCTCTGAAGCCTCGACTTTGACATGGTATGTATGGACCAAGTGCATGCCCGTGATTGTGTTCAAGTCCTTCCTTTACAAAGACTGGGAGAATCGGACTTCATGCTTCCATGTTGAATCCACAGAAGGCCAACACGATCAGCATGTCCAATCCTAATTTCACATTTAGGATCACGGTTACCCTGCTGACGCTCAGCGATCCCCAACTGATTAGACAAAGGACCAGTCGGCAGTCGCACCATTTTGGCGGGCATTGACCCCCAACAAGATCTGGGCTTTCAGTGGGGCAGTTCTGGCTGCCTAGTGATGCAGTTGGTTAAAGCCAGCAGACCAATCGGAAAGCAAGGCAAGGTCGGACCAAGCACACGCCCACCAAAGGCACAGAAATGCTGGGCTCACCCGTTTCTACCCTCGTTGCAAAAGGCTGAGGTGAAACGTGAGCAGCATACCCCAAGTCATTCATTGAAGCCGTGCATTGCCCCTGGCCCACTCTGCAAGCAGTGCGTTCTCCACCTCCTCTTCTTCTCCTCTTCATCATCAAAGCCAAACCCTATGTATGCATTATCACGATTTGTGTTCTCCTTCTTGTTTGTTCTCCTCCTCCTCCTGCTTCTCCTTTCTCTTCATCATCATCAAAGGCAAAACCCTAGGTGTGCATTACCACGATTTGTTTCTTCCTTCTTGTTAGTCCTCCTCCTCCCCCTCCTCCTCGTCATCCTCCTCCACCTTCGTTGCCGTCATCATCATCGTCATCATCATCGTCATCATCCAGGATGAAACGCCAGGTGTCAAAAGTTCCTCCTCCCCCTTCTGTTTTCTCCCCTCCTCCTCCATCTCACCATCATCATCATCATCATCAGCCAATCACCATCATCATCATCAGCCACACCATCATCATCATCAGCCAATGATCGTCACCATCCTCAAAGCTGATCATCAATAGAATGTGAAGGACAACAGTTTTTTTGTTTCTAACTAGGGGGAATAATGAAGGAATTGGAGGGTTTGGTCATGGTTGCATTTGAACTGACCTGTTGTGTGTTTCACTTCCCATACCTGTCTCCATCTTACAACAATTTCCCCTAGTTCGCAAGAAGTATTCTTTCTCAGATGTCAGGAGATAGGCAATCCTGCCGTACAGCATTTCGCTGGCGGGGGGTTGCACTGGCGGATGGGGCACGGCCGTTGAAACTGCGCGTGTGTGCTTTTGCTGCGTGTGCGCGGCTGTTGAAACCGATCTTGCAAACACCATATTTGCAATTACCATTCTGCTTCGTTTACTCACTCTCTCGCTCGTACGCCTGCGCGTGCACACATGCGTGTTTTTTTTTTTGTTTTCTTGAAGGGTCTCGATGGACCATGGACCAAATTTGAAATTGATTGGAGCAGATACTACACTTGCTCGTGTTGGGGGGGAGGGTTGAGGCGTAGTTAGTTAGATTGGGGTGTATCTCT